TCTGGTTTTGTTCCAAGGTTTGATAGTGCTAAGATTTAAATCCAATAAGAGATTTAAGATTCAAAAGCAACACTATTTGATCTGAATTGTTTTGAGATTCTGTTCAGAATCTGCTCAGAGACTAAAATGGAGACACACCAGAGTACTGCATGTGCTTCCTTTTTGGGCAGAATGCATAGCAAATAAAATGACCTAGATGTTTATATTAAACGTGGCAAAGTTTATGCTGCATCACTTTGAGGGTTTTAGTTTAATATTGGAAAATTTTCCCCCTCTTTTAAGGGCAGAGATCATAGGGAATATGAAAAAAAACTAGCTTTCATATTATCCAGTAAAAGTCTATGTAAGAAAATGTGTTGAACAATGCAGGAAGTATCATATTCCAGTTTAAATATAAAAACTTCCAAAAACAATTAATCTCTTACTAAATTTACAGAATCCACTGACCCCCGAGTTCTTGTTTTTCTAAGCTGCCAATTTGGCAAAGTTGACTTCCATATTTTTGTTATATTTTTCCTGGTGTCCATTCTGAAAACCACTTGCTTGAATTTTAAGTTCATGATTTCTTGTCATAGCTTCCGGAACAGGTTAATAGTTTGTTTTATGCAGCTAATCTTTCTGCTTTCTGATGTTCCTAGGATGGAAGACATTATCACTGGACAGATGAAAAACACATTAGTTTCAGTCGTTGGTCTGAAGAAAGCAAAGATTTGCTTGGTGACTGTGTGTATTTGGACACAGATGGATTTTGGAAAACATCTGAATGTTATACAGAAAAACCAGGGGCAGTTTGTTACTTACCCGGAAGTAGGGCTTCTTTTATTACTATATGTCATGAGTCTACAGTTTTGCATTGAAAATATTTTAAGCCCGTAAAGTAAAAATGAAAATATACGTATAGTTACAAAAAAAATATACAGTAGAAAATAAGCTACTTTGTATTATATATGTATAGGTAGTCCTTGACTTACGACCACAATTGAGCCCAAAATTTCTGTTTCTAAGCAAAACATTTGTTAAGTGAGTTTTACTCCATTTTATGACCTTTCTTGCCTCACTTGTCAAGTGAATCACTGCAGGTGTTAAGTTGGTAACACCGTTGTTAAGTGAATGTGGCTTCCCCATTGGCTTTGCTTGTCAGAAGGTTGCAAAAGGGAATCAATCATACGAACCTGGGAGATTGCAACCGTCATGGATATGAACCATTTGCCAAGCTTCCGAAAACTAGTCACTTTTTTCACTGCATTTGTAGCTTTGAATGGTCACTAAGTGAATGGTTGTAAATTGAGGACTACCTGTACTTAAAATTACACAGCTACCCACCGGTGCTTTCATAATTCTTACTGGCTGCCAATCACTCACTTTTTGGCTTTTGAATGTAGAATAAGTTTTAAGGGGTCTACCTTCTCTAAAATAAAGCTGTACTCCACTTCTCTGCCAATTTTTTTTATCATCGTTTTCCTCATAAATCAGAAGTTGTAATATCTTGAATGCTGTGTATGTATGAATTAATGTTAGATATGGTTGCAGTGGTGAATCATTTTTTCAATATTTTGACACAGTGTATTCTCTGCTCAGGCCTCCTTGTTCCCAGGATAAAGGTGTTGAGACTAACTCAGCTTGCTATCAGGTTTAGGCTCTATATTGTAAATATATTCACGCTCAGAGGAAGAATTTACTTTTGGGGGAGAAGGGGAGCCAGTACAACTGATTAGAATTTATCTGCTGTGTGTTCCAGCCAAGGCCAATCTGATTCTAACCTTCTCAGAAGGCCCTGAAGACCTTGAAAAGGAGTCTTAAGGACTCCTGTGAAGGAGGAAACAGAGATGGTGGTGAATGGGAAAGGCGGAGGCAGCTGTTCCAGAGAAAACAATTCTTATCTCTCACACAGCTCCAAAACAAAGGCTCTGAGGATAAGTTATTCTTATTGGAGACCTTGGTCACACACATTTGTGAGCCACTTCATATAATGACCAATGAATCAGACTATATCCACTCATATATATCCACTCATATCAGTTAACTATTTTATAGATGCCTAAAAAGAACACAACTCATCCTCTAATATATACAAAAAGTCCAACCTGGTCAACTGTTAGATTCCAGTACATTTACATCAAAACACTAACTTTTCCCCTTATTAGCGAATGTTTGGGCTTAATGCTTTTTATAAAGGGGATCAGTCTTGCAAAATCTGACAAAGTTGTAACATTTTACCCCTTCACCATTGCTATTAGAAAGTGTTTGGTCTGATTTAGGCTTAGAAAAAGTTATGTGTTGATAGATATGCTAGTTTATGAAGGCAGGTTGTTTCTTATCATTCTTGCCTTTGTAAAATTGCTTGTTTTGATTTCTGGGTTAACTTTTGGTCTGTGAGCATACAGCAGAAAACAAGTAAATAACAAATCTAGCTAGCCTGAGAAATACTAAAACAGTGGCTTTTGGTGGGTTGGGCCTATGTCATAAGAGTCAAGATGGCAGTTGAGGCAGCCCAATCAGAGCTCACCCTTTTATACATGCACATACAAAGGGGCTGGGCTTTTATCACAATAGTGTCACCAACTTCTTGATTGTGGATTTCCTTCCATCGGAAGTCTGTACATAAGGAATGCAAAGTTATAGATATAGAAAAGAACGAGAATACATTTAGAAAAGATTATTTATTTTATCAGTTTAGCTTTTTAAACCGCACTTTATTACTTACTAATTAACTCACAGTGGCAAATATACATGACATTTCCTTCCTTCTATTTTACCCACAACAACCATCTTGTGAGGTGGGTTGGCCTGAGATTAGGTAGAATGTGGGAGGGAAGGAGGGAGGGAGGGGGAGAGAGAGAGAGAACACGTGTGTGTATCTAAAGAAAAGGAAACACAAGTGATTCTCATCTCTTTCAAACCATCATATTTAGTAAATACCCTTGGCCCAAATGCCATTCCATCTATTGGAGAAGGATAAATAATACTGATTACCTTTATTTTTTTATAAGATGAATTTTAATATTCTGATCCTTCTTATTTCACATTCTCATTCCTGGTAACCAGATTTATTGTTTGTTTGTTTTCTTTGACCACAAAATGATATCATTAATGACCAGCATCCAGTAATTCTAAGTTGATGAAAGTTGTATTGTAGTATTAAACATTAAATGTATTTTAGATATTAAGCACTGCCTTTAAAAAGGGTTTATTTTTCAGATGATACTGAAACCCAAGAAGCATATCCTGGATCAATTAAATGCCCACACCAGGTTAAGAATATGCCATGGATAGCATATCAAAACAGTTGTTACACATTTTTAATACCACAAAATAGATGGAGAGGATTGAAAGCAGTTGAAGCTAACAATTTATGCATGAAAATGAGTAAGCTGTTCCTCTTTAAAGTTCTGATTTTTTCTGTGTTCAAAGACTTTTATGAAGAACATTTTTGGACTTGAGGCACCTTAATTTTACTGTATTTGTAACTTGCTGCATGCAAAACTGTTGATTTTACAACTGGGCAATACATGGAAAAGGGTCCTCATATTATTATTTTTTAATGTTACTGTTTAGAGAATGTACGTTTGTATAATATTAGAATACCCTGTGACCCACTGGATCATCCTTTGACATAATAAAAGTAATTGTTAATCAACTTATATATTTTGTTAACATTAACCTGAGTCAAGCCTTTCTTGCTGGTTATGACTAAAAGAAATGACTTCTTAAACACCCACTTTTCTTCTCACTTAAGAAAGAGGCTTCTTGAAGAGTTTCCAAGTTGCAATATTTAATGAAATATAATATTTGTATAATAAAAATGAAGCCAAAACTGCTGAACTGTAAGAACAATCATTTAGTTCAACATCCTGTTTCCAAGACTGGCAGGACAATTACTTCAGCCAAATTATGCACACTTCAACAGCACCTCTGCTGTCGATTCACTTCTGTCAAATGGAGGCTATATCTACCTGTAATGAATAAAGCTGACAGCTTTTTATCTGTGAATTTCCCCTGAACTGCATTTTAAATTTCTATGAACTATTGCTCCACCTTCTGGCGTGGAATTCCACATATTAAATTACCTACAGAATTTTCTCCCATTATTTTCCTACTGAATGTTATTAAATTGTGGAGGTTGGGAACAGAACATATTCTTTCTCATGTTTTGGAAATATAATCCTCTTTAATCGTTGCTTGAAGCTCTATTATTTTTCTTAGGAAAGTTCCTAATCAAATGTTCCTTGTAAAACACTTCAGGTCTCTCCATCTTTTCCAGCTGTACATATCTATGTTACACATATTGAGAGTCCTAGTTATTGTTGCTTAACTTTGTCTAACGTGGAATTTGCTATTCCCATTATACAATAAAATGACTTTAAGATCTCTTTTCATATGGGCAGTGCTTCTCAGATCTGATCCTTTGCTTAAATCTTCAAAAAGATAGTGTTATAAAATTCTCTAAGTTCATTTCATGATTTATTTTTTAATTGTTTCAACAGATTCAAACGCATCTCTTTTGAGTATCAGGGATGAAGATGAAAATGATTTTATTCTTGAACAGTTTCAGTCTTATAGTGGTCTTGTTCAGTGGATGTGGTTGGGTTTGATTTATGACACTGATGGTATGTTGGAAATTATTTATTGGCTCTTGCTTTCTGAATTTAGAGACTACAATAATTTTATATTATTTGCAGAACTTTGATGTGTAAAAAGTTCAGTGTTTCTTTTATTATATGATAATCAGAAAATGTTAATTTTGTTTTAGTTAAAATTGTCAACTGGGAGTGAATGGAACGATTCTCCAAAGTCAGTTTATTTTAAAATGTTTTACCCTTATTTAAGACTATGTTTATGATTGCATACTCTAATAGTGGCCTAAAAGGGGGCTAGACGGATAAGTAGTAATTAAGTTGCATTTCTAAAAATATTTAGCATTTCTATGAGTGTTAGAAGTGCAATTTAAGAATAATTCAAATGTAATGATCCTCTATTTCCAAATCCTTTGGCAACTATACACTTACTATGAGTAGTCCTCAACTTACAACAGTTCATTTAGTGACAGTTCAAAGTTACAACAGCAGTGAAAAAAGTGACTTACGACTATTGCAGCATCCCCTTGATCACAGGATCAAAATTTAGATGCTTGGCAATTGATTCATATTTATAACAGTTGCAGTGCCTGGGGTCATGTGATTGGATTTTGTGACTTTCTGACAAGAAAAGTTAATGGGGAAGCCAGATTTGCTTAACAACAATGTTACTAACTTAACCACTGTAATGATTCACTGTGACAGTAAAGGTTATAAAATGAAGCAAAACTCATTTAATGAATGTTTCACTTAGCAAAATAAATTTTGAGCTCAGTTATGATCATAAATTGAGGGCTACCTGTAAATTAAATGGTCAGGACTCCTGATTTTTATTGGCCTTTGCCCTTTCAAGTTGTGTTAATATTGCCAAGGTGTGTGTGTGTGTGTTGGGGGGGGAGGTTCAGCCCTTTCAAATTTTCAAATGCCATTGATGTCTCTTGGTATTGCTTATTTCCCCTCCAAATCCTATATTTTCCTCTGCAGGTAACCTTCTGAAGTGGTATGATGACACATACGTGTCCTACAACAACTGGAGAAATGGGCGGCCTAACATCAAGAGTAACTTCTTTCTTGCTGGTGTTAACATGGATGGCTTCTGGGACATTTACGATCATTCGCATAATAACTGGTTATATTGGCAATTTGGTTTTCACAGCCTCCTGGTCTGCAAGCTAGACCTGGGTAAGAAACATCTCTTGGACTGAATTTCAGATTCCACTGATTTTTCTTTATGCAGCAGATACAGCAAAGCAACATGTAATTCATTCCTTGTCTTTAGAGACCAAAATCAGCCAACCTCCGCTTCCTACAAAGCTGCCCTACAAAAACAATGTTTACTGGATTCTTCGGCAACAGCTCAATTGGTATGATGCATGGAAAGAATGCAAACAGAAAGGAAGTGATTTAGCCAGCGTTCACAGTATTTCCGAACAAGTTTTTTTGGAAGATATTGTAAAGCGTGATGGATTTCCATTGTGGATTGGTTTATCTAATCATAATGTAAGTTGAATCAGAGATTTGTAGCTTATTTTTCACATGTGACAGAATCTTAGATCTGTTTACCAATGCCTAAGTATTGTGTTCTCCATTTTTGTACTTCCATCTTTTATGCTTCGTTCTTTTATATTTGGTTTCTTATCATAGAATCAAACCACCAAATAATTTTGATTTTCTGACTTCAGGCTTCAAACTGTATCCAATTTTACCCAATCCTTTTCATGTTACTACTCAAACATGTTTCATAAACTGTAGTTTTTCTCACAACTAATGTTCTATGCTCACGCAGTTCAAGTTTCAATCTTTGTTCCAGAGCGTAGAGTATTTCCATACACTAATTAAAGTTACTAAATCTGCCTCCTTCCTTAAGTTCAATGGGGAGCTTTCAAAAGTTTGCCACCCTCTATGGTGAACCATATCTGATGTGTGGGGGGGGGGGGGGGGGGGGGGGCAGTCATAGCTGGGAAAGGATGAGTTAACTTTGCCAACACCAGTCTTGACAACATCCATATACAAACATCCAAACCCAGAGACACACCCATGTGAGGGGGAGTGCTTTACTCAGGAAGATGGAAATGAGCAGAAGACAACTCGTTACTGCTTTTCAAAAAATTAAAAATCATGGCATGGGCTTTGTATATTTGGTCAGAAGAGAATAATGTATAACTGCTTAGTTCTATATCTGAAGTATCAATCTGACTGACAGATGGAGACTATGCTGAGAAACTTTTCCATACAGGGTTGCCTCGTTAATAAGTTCTCCAGAGAAGGCCTTACTCACTAATCCACATTTGGAAAGTAGTGTATTTTCTATGGCTTGCACTATTTGAAAATATTTTTTTCTTAATTATTTTACAATATTGTATGCTCCTCACTTCACACATCTTTTGACAAGTCACAATAGTAATCCATCCTCAGAGGACTTCATAGCATTAAAAACATTTAAAGTGTCATTAAACTTAAAATCTCAAAATCAGAATAATCAGCAAATTATTAGACAATAGGGAATAGCAATAGCACTTAGACTTATATACCGCTTCACAGTGCTTTCCAGCCCTCTCTTAAATGGTTTACAGAGTCAGCTTATTGCCCCCAACAATCTGGGTCCTCATTTTACTGACCTTGGAAGGATGAGTCAACCTGGAACTGGTAAAGATAGACAGCTACCTTCCATTAATATTACATGGGCTCATTATGGACTTTTTCTGCCCATAAAAACATGGCATTCTGCTTGAGCACTCTTAGAATTTATTGACAGCCGTCCTAAACTTATTGTAACCTTTTATGATTAAAATGAATACATCTCGTTACTCTCTTTGGGTTTAGGACCACAACATCTGCTAGAGAAGCTAAGGCTTTTATGCCTCTGCTCATTCTATTACGCCATTTTGCAGAGATTACAAAATTGGAGGAAAAAACATTTTCTGACCCAGGACTTAATCAGTAAGATAATAAAATGCTTTACCCTACTCCATAAGACATAGCTAAGCATCTCCTATTTGCTGTTTGCCTTGGAAGGAGAGCAATGAGTTGGCTTTTCAGCCCATGTGGAGCTGCTCACGGTTGGGACCTTGAATCTCCATGCTACTCATTAACATACTTGCTAATTGCACTAGTATTGCTGAGTAAACTGAGTCCCTGAGGTCTTGCTTCTCAGAATACAGCCAAGCACAACTGAGTTCATGTGTTATGGTGTATACTAGAAAAGAATGTTAAGAAAAAGAGCCTGAATTTGTCATCTGTTCAAGTCATAACCATTTTCTCTAGCGTTTGCTAAAAACAAGTGTACCTTCAGTATTGATCAACAAAGTTGCACCTTCCCTAGGGAAATGATTCTGATTTTGAGTGGTCTGATGGAAGCCAGTTTGAATACCAGCCTTGGGAATATCAGCATTCTCATACTTTTGGAAATTGTTTTGCTATGGACACTAAAGGAATTTGGAATCGCAGGAAATGCACCTCTCAAGGCGATGGTGCTATCTGCTACTTTTCTTCAAATAGTAAGCATATATTCCTGTATCATTTGATTCTTTTCCACCTAAGAAACTATAACACAAAATAATGGGCATTTTCTCCTTCCCATACTGAATATAATTCCTTAGCGGTAAGCAGATCTTAACCAGATAACATGGCAAGATAGTAGTTTTCAGCTTGCAGAGTGCTTTGAGCAGGGGTATCAACTGGATTTCTTCAAGGGCCAGATTAGCATTGCAGTTCTCTGCAGGCTGGCCGGGGGGGTGGGAATCGGGACGGCCGGCCTCCTGCAGAACCCTAGTGGCCAAAATTGGGGGCACATGAGGCCCCCCTGTGCTATTATATATAAATTTATTATATATAAATTCCTTGTGTGTCCAATCACACTTGGTCAATAAAGTATTCTATTCTATTCCATGTTTTGGCTGCCAGAGGCACCATGGACCGGTCTTTTGCTATTTCCCGGCTGACCCCACAGGCCAGATTTAAGCACCCTACAGGCCAGATCTGGCCCACAGGCCTTAGAGTTTGACGCCCCTGGCCTAGAGCATAATAAAAATAAGGTGGGTCTTATTTTCAGGCTGCCTAAAGGGACATGGCACAGATTTTTTTAAAAAATTGGAAAGGAAACCAAAAACAGATGGTTTTAATACTTAATTTTTATTGAGATTTGCCAACTGTGATGAATTGTTCAAGTGGCCCGTTGCCTCCTTTTGCTCCTCCTTAATAGTAGAGTTCCTGCTACTCTTCCTCAGAGGTGGTCTTGCAATGCTCTATACGGAAATGGGGTTGGAAAGTCACCTCTGAGGCTTTCAGGTAACACTTTTTCATAAGATGATGGTTCATCGCAGTCAGCCAGATATTCAGACTGGATTTGGCATTTTTATCTTGCCAAGGACCTCCGATAGGCAGGTGTTGTTATTTGATGGTGTTAGAGGCATCGTCACAGAATGTAAGCTGTCCTGAGTAAAAGCTGCCTTTTGCAATTGGCTGGTGGTGAATTTGTCAGTGATAATAAAATAGTGCTCCTGTTGTTTTGGCATTGCACCCAAGGTGCCTATTACTATTACTACTATTAAATTTGTTTGCAGGAATACTTGCTAATAGTATGGACAGCTCTAGCCCTTTTTGGCAAATAGGCCATCAGCACAACCCAGTTTTACCTCATGCAATTCCATACTAGCTACGTTTGCCTAACCTAGAGTCAGTTTTACTAACCAACATATTTTCCTACGTATGACTTAAATGTGAAGTATATGACTGTTTATTTGATTTCATGGAAATGTTTGCAGTGCTGTTGCTAACGTGCTTATGATTCCAAATCTTCCCATGATTTTCACAGGTTGGCCTTTTGTAGGGATGCAAAAGATTCAAGCCGTAAAGGATTCAGGCTAGATTTAGTTGTCATCTCCATTCCCTTTTTGTGCAGAGATTTTTGTGTAAATCACTTCATGGGCTCAGGACAGACATTTATTAAGTCAAAGTGGTTGCACAGCCTTAACTAACAGCTAGATTGTTCCCTAAATTGCTGTTAATTCAAGTCACTTATGAAAAAGTACTCTTAAGTTACTAAAGAAAAGATTTTCTGGGTTATTGGTATGATTCCCCCCCACACACACACTTGGATGTGTAGATATAGCAATATATTCATTTGGGTGAAAGCCCAAAGAGTTGAGAGCCAATTCTGGGCAGTACCATCTTGCCTTGTAAAAAGGGGAAAGAAAGTCAGAACAAATGCATGCATTTCATTCCTTGCTATAGCTATTGCTTCCTAAGAGTTAAAACACTTTTTCCATGAAGATGTGGTATTACTTGTTAGCAAACATATTTAGAACCTTGCTTTATTTATATTTTGAACAGTACTAAAACCGTCAATTGACTGAGCAGAAAATGTTCATATTTGAATAAAGTTGATTATGCTATTTTGTTTTCACAGAAGTGCAATTAAAGCAAACCGAAACATCATCAAAGTGTCCAGACTCTCCTAATGAAGCATCACAATGGCTACACTACAAAGATTATTGCTATGCATTTGATATGGCATTTTATAATTATTCCATATATACTGGAAACACAGCTAGGAAAATTTGCAAGAAACTTAGTATGTCTAAATTATATGTTTCTTTTCTTGGTTAAAGAGTTATTTTTCAATATTATTTCAGATAACATCTTAAATAATTTCTTTTGGACATTTAAATAAATCAGATTTTCCTCATTTAAGATAAACGTTTTATTATTAGATCCTTCTGCAGATGTTCTGACTATCAAGGATGAAAAGGAAAATACGTTTGTGAGCACACACTTGAAAGAATATTATTTTATTACTGGAAAAGTATGGCTTGGAATACAATTTAATGGTAAGGAAAAGCTGGATGTAATATTAAATAATGTTTGAAAATGACAAAAACTATATACAGATGAATATCGTGCAAAAGTTCATTTATTTCAGTAATGCAACTTAAAAGGTGAAACTAATATATTAGATAGACTCATTATATGCAAAGCAAGATAGTTCAAGCTGTGATTTGTCATAATTGTGATGATGATGGCTTACAGCTCATGAAAACCCCAAATCCACAATCTCAGAAAATTAGAATATTACATGCAATCAATAAAACAAGAATTGTACATAGAACAATATCAGACCTCTGAAAAGTATAAGCTCAGTACTTGGTTTGGGCCCCTTTTGCAGCCATTGCTGCCTCAATGCAGCGTGGCATGGAAGCTATCAGCCTGTGGCACTGCTGAGGTGTTATGGAAGACCAGGATGCTTCAATAGCGGCCTTCAGCTCTTCTGCATTGTTCGGTCTCATGTCTCTCATCTTTCTCTTGGCAATGCCCCATAGATTCTCTATGGGGTTCAGGTCAGGCGAGTTTGCTGGCCAATCAAGCACAGCAATCCCTGGTCATTGAACCAGGTTTTGGTGCTTTTGGCAGTGTGGGCAGGTGCCAAGTCCTGCTGGAAAATGAAGTCAGCATCCCATAAAGCTCATCTGCGGAAGGAAGCATGAAGTGCTCCAAAATCTCCTGGTAGACGGCTGCATTGACCCTGGACTTAATGAAGCACAGTGGACCAACACCAGCAGATGACATGGCTCCCCAAATCAACACAGACTGTGGAAACTTCACACTGGACTTCAAGCATCTTGCAGTGTGTGCATCTCCATTCTTCCTCCAGACTCTGGGTCCTTGGTTTCCAAATGAGATGCAAGAGTTGCTCTCATCAGAAAAGAGGACTTTGGACCACTGAGCAACAAACCAGTTGTTTTTCTGTAGCCCAGGTAAGACGCTTCTGACGTTGTTGTTCAGGAGCAGCTTGACAAGAGGAATACGACAATTGAAGCCCATGTCCAGGATCCGTCTGTGTGTGGTGGCTCTTGGATGCACTGACTCCAGCCTCAGTCCACTCCTTGTGAAAGTCCCCGACACTTTTGAATGGCCTTTTCCTGACAATCCTCTCCAGACTGCGGTCATCCTTGCTGCTTGTGCACCTTTTTCTTCTACACTTTTCCCTTCCACATAACTTTCTATTAATGTGCTTTGATACAGCACTTTGGGAACATCCAACTTTTTTTGCAATTACCTTTTGAGGCTTTCCCTCCTTGTGGAAGGTTTCAATGATGGTTTTCTGCACAACTGTCAGGTCAGCAGTCTTTCCCATGATTGTGATTCCTACTGAACCAGACTGAGAGACCATTTAAAGGCTCAGGAACCCTTTGCAGGTGTTATGGCTTCATTAGCTGATTAGAGTGGGACACTTTGAGCCTAGAATATTGAACCTTTTCACAATATTCTAATTTTCTGAGATTGTGTATTTGGGGTTTTCATGAGCTGTAAGCCATAATCATCTCAATTATGACAAATCACGGCTTGAACTATCTTGCTTTGCATGTAATGAGTCTATCTCTTATATTGGTTTCACCTTTTAAGTTGCATTACTGAAATAAATGAACTTTTGCACGATATTCTAATTTTTTGAGTTTCACCTGTAGTACGTGAAGAAGTTTTAGGTAAAAACGTCTAGAGTATATTTGTATTCATGGACAACAAGGAAACCGGCTTACAGTAAAGTTGATTTTTTTTTCTCAGTGTGTATATGAAATGGACTGCATTTTTAGGCAGTGTTCTCTTTGTGTCCTTGGCCCTCCTGAGATTGGCTTCCAGGTCACACAAAGCCTTCAAAGTGACTTTGGAAAATGTTCTTCCACAGCGAAACAGCACAAAAGCATGTCCTGTTTTTGTGTTACTGCTGTGGGGCACCTAAGAGCATATTCCATGTCCAAAACTTGTGTGAGAACAGGCCTTGCTTTTGAGAATAGTTGTTGGGTATTGGTGAATGCTGGTGTGTCATCCCAAACATCATAGCATATTACCTTTGACAGACATGTCATACGTTCACCATCACTGCTCTAGAGATACCAAGACAATCAGTATGGGTACAATATGAATGATGAAGAATAGGTTTCTGTCAGCCCTCCAGAGTAGGCCAAGGTCAGGAAGCAGACCCCATAAGTAATCCTGGGACTTTATTGATTTAGGGCAGGGGTCTTCAAACTTGACAAATTTAAGACTTGTGGACTTCAACTCCCAGAATTCCTGAGCTAACATGACTGGAGGAGGAATTATGGGAGTTGAAGTCCACAAGTCTTAAAGCTGTCAAGTTTGAAGACCCCTGATTTAGGGTATAGTAACAAATCCTGAAAGCCTGACTGCATTTTCTTTCCCTCTCTCATGAAAGATAGATGTAAATTGAGGTTTTTTTCTAATATTTCTTCCTGTTTTGGACTAAAGTAATGTTCTGTTGGGCTAGCTAAGGTAATTTCTTTGGTTCTTTTTTGTTTCATAATAGCCCAATAAAATCTTGTGGAGGACAGTTTTCAAATGAACTACCAGAGCAGTTACACTCAAGCAGGCAGACTAATGTTAAGTAACTACACAATAGAGCTGAGCACACTTGAAATACCAGTATTTTTTGAAGGAAGTATGTTGGGCCTTATGTAAGAATAAGCACAGCATCTCCCTGCAGTTTATTAAAATACACTCTCTTTCCCCCCACACACACACATTTACAAACAAGTGTGAAAAAAGAACCATGTTAAATAATAATTCAGTCTAATTATGGCAATTAAATAAGGCAATAATTAAAGACATGCTGCTTTAATTATTCAGTTCATTAAAGCAGTTGTATCTAGTTTCAGACTTCTGGGGAAGCCTGAAAAAAATAGACACACTTTAACCAATGACAGTGAAGTACTGTACTTGCACAAGGTCTAAAACTTGGTCTAAAACATTTTAAGAGCATACACCACTTTAATACATAAAGAATATCTTATATCTACTGGGAAGTGACAACTGCCTTTATTTTGTGTCAACGCACCCTAAAAATTGTTGGGGGCCTGGAGTAATGATTACAGCTGGCAAGCTTGCTTTACCATAATGGTAATGTGAGCTTTCCTTAGTCCTCGCATTGCACCTGTGACAAAAGTTGCACAAAGAAGTCTCTAAGGCATATTTTGTTGTGTCTGTTATTTGGCCTCAGCTGCTAATTGGGAAATCTTCCCCTAAGATTTCCTACCACCAACCACACAAGCAACTCAGGGAATATGCACTTAGCTCTATGCAGGCTGATGTTTTGATGTTTCTTGGAATAAACAGAGTGTGTCTTTACAAGATTGGTATGATTCTTTCCTCCTTGCCTGACCTAGTTTTTAGTTTAATAAAGGCATTATTAATTAAAGGCATTATTAAAGGCCTGTAATTTAGGGGAACAATTCAACTCTGCTTTGAATTGTGAACATGGCAAATTGCAAATTGATAAAGTGTTAGGACAGTTTTTAGATATTGAACCAGAGTACAGCTCTGACTATTTAGTACACATATAGCAAAATATAGAATAAATTGTGTGTGTATGTATGTGTGTGTGTGTGTGTGTGTGTGTGTGTGTATATGTGTGTGTGTGTGTATATATTCTTAAGTTTTTGCAGGTACTTACATGTATGGTATTCAGCTTTGTTCAGGTATTTTCCCACGTCATTATAGTTGTGCTTTTAAAGTTGTAGCTACAACTTTAAAAGCACAACTATACACACACACACAGAGAGAGAGAGAGAGGAGAGAGAGAGAGAGAGAGAGAGAGAGAGAGAGAGAGAGAGAGAGAGATAAGTGAAATACATTTTGTTCATAAATTAAAGAAGAAATGTTTTGGGTTTTTATTTACAGATAAGTCCTTGAACTGGCTTGATGGCTCTGAGGTTAAATATACAAATTGGGTCAATGAAACTGAAAAGGCTAATGGTCAGTGCAGTGTTATCTTTTCAACCAATGGAACATGGTCCAAAGCAGACTGCAACAATGAACAAAGCAGAGTTGTTTGCAAAATTCCTCAAGGTATGTAAATGATGATTTAGTTTAGTCAGATGAAGATAAGCTATCGGGTCCTTTTCAGATATTTTAGACTATGGCTTGCAGGTAAGGTGGAATAAAAATCTAATCATTGTCATCATTTTTTACTGTGACCGAGGATAATGGGAATTGCTTATTCCACAATAGAGTAACCTTTTTACAGCACTGTATAACGGGTACCTGGCGCCCAAAAAGTTGAGGGCCGCTGCAGTATAATGCAGTAGAAGGGTTGCTTGTTTCTCTTGACAGTAGAAGTAGATAGTAGAAGTGTTTTTCTTCTCTATGATTGAGACAGAGAAAAACAAAACTATTCATGTCTAGCCTCAGTATGTTAGTGGCTAAGAAAGCAGCCAGTTGCTGCGAGGAAGCTATGTAGTTCAGAACACTGATTTTTCTTCAGTCATGCATTTAAATGATAGGATAATCTTCATATTTAGTTTGATTTAAAAGGGTAGGTAACTACATTTATTTACTTTGTTCATTCAATACTTTTATGTTGTGACTGACTTTGATCACCCTCTGGGTAAAAAGATAGGATATGAATTAAGATAATAAAAATGACCATAATCATATGTGGCTTGTAGTTCCACTACTCTAGTTCAATAACTTTTTTTTGTTTCTTTTTTCTTAGTCTCTCATCATTCAAGAGGGGCAATAGCATTTGGTGTTATATTTGTTATCACCCTTCTTGTTGGATTAGGATACGTCCTGTATAGAAAGATGCAACTACACTCAATTGGATTGGCTTCTGTTCGCTATGAGAGGGGAATGTATGATGATGAAACTGACACCATGTTTTCTAGAAATGACGACTAATAACCATTTTCTGCTTGGCGTACTGAAACCAATTTTCAAATCAGCTCCTGAACATCTTCCAAAGATGCTATTGACTTCCATTCTTGGGGTTTGTTGACACCTTCCCTTTTTTTCAAGTTTGTGGGGGGAGGGGATTCTTAACAACATTCAAACTTTGCACTTTTTGTGACCTGAGATTTGCACGTGACTTGAAGTATGGTGCATGGAACGATTCTGATATCCTGTACCATTTACCCAAATGAAGTAAGATAGCAGAGGGCCAGAGAATTACTTGAAATATAACTTATTGAAAATAAAGTATGTTGATAGCTTATGGTGTTAAAAATATTATATTTTCAAAGTTAAAGATTACTTTGAGTCAAGTTAAACTTTTGGCAACAGAATGAGGAGACCTGGGATTTCTCATCCAAGCATGAGCAGGTCCAAACTTGCTTACCATTTCTGAAGTCAACCAAGGTTAGTGAGATATTGCCATCTGCTCTGATCCTTTTTATTATCCTTCAGATCTTTTGGGGCCATTCTGATTTTCAATAAAAGCTCTCAAAGATTCTTTCCATCTTTAAAACAAATGTATTAAGAATTACAGTATATTAAACAGATAAAACTACAGAGAAACATATACGTACATACATACATTCATTATTATATTCCTCTCAAAACAAAATAGTAAAAAAAGGAAATTTCTCCTTTCATACCCAATAAGCTTATTCAGATTGACAATTTATTGCTGTCTTTTAAATTACAACCAGATATCTCTTTATTCCATACCTCACCCCATTTTCTATAAACTCATTTTTAAATTTTCAGCTTCCATTCCCCAACAAAGGTCCAGTAAAATTAACAAAAATACCCAAGGACATAAGTATATAATCCCTCTTTCTATTTAGCCTAAATCCCTCTCTTGAGCATTACAAAGATAAGAATAATACGATTGAAAGCTATTGAACTTTTATCACAAATAACAAATCCTAATTTAGATTTCCAAAAATGGCAATGTAAATATTACAATATTTAGTTTGTTTACAAACAATTAGCATCACCAAAAATAGCAACTTGATATTTAATCATAGACAAATAAACCAATTTTGTATTTTTTTCCTTTTTCCTCCCAGTCATCTTTGAATCCGATAAATAAAGTTCTAACTCCTGTTTTCCTGTAGTCTCTTTGCCTCTTCTTTTGAAGTTATTATAGTCCATTTGTATTTTCCATGAAGTGATTTGAGCGACTGTTCTGTATTTCAATTTAAAAAGACAGTCCATATCATTTTGAATGTATTTTTGTATGAAAGATTTTTTTATTTTTTAAATGATCATCCAAATTCATTTGTAAATTCAATATTTCCAACTCTCTCCGTCCTTCTCTTTCTCCGCCTCTGAGTTGTAATTTTCAGATCCACCTTAAACTCCTTTTCAGCTGTCTTTAAAAGAGTTCATCTTCGCTAACATTTTTTCCAGGAAAGAATTAAAGCAGCTCAAGCATTTCAGAGCCTATAGATTAAAAAAAAACACCTCAGTTTAAAATAGCCATCATGTACTTGTTTTGCTTTAAAATGTAAACAAATCAGATTTTTCCCCACATGAGGTCTTTCTACTTAGTTTTGAAATCTTTCTTTCTTAAATCAATTTGAAGCCTTGGCCATTAAAACTGTTTCAAAATAACTCTAAAATCAGTCCTTCAGTGTATATTGCAAAAAGTTTCCAAAAATAAAAATAAAAAATAGAAGACTTACAAATGCTGGGGAAAAAAATATTGTTTCTTTTAAACAGGCTGAAATGACATTTATCCAGCAACTGTAATCTTTGTTGTTCAGAAGTATTCTCAATCTTAAAAGAGGCAGTAAAAACTCCAGTGTGATTAAAAACATGAGGTTTGATCAAGCCTTGAGTCCCTAAGTTTGAGGCTCAAAGGAGGGTAGAAACCAGAACTCCCAGCTGCTTGCAAGCAGCTACAAAAACAAGAGTTTCTACAGAAATTCAGCTGATTGAAATACATACGGGCAACCTCTCTCTCTCTTCTGGAGAGAATTTGGCCAGTCTGGGTCTCACCACTAAGTGCCTTTTCAACCAAAATGCCCCTGCATCCACACAGAGGAGGGACTATGTAGGTATTGGCTTGCCTTGCAGCATCGGAAACCCCAGGGTTCTTCATCTTGATCAAAGTTACAAATTAGACTTGGATTCATTTACTATATTAACTTTTAAAGCTTGACTTTTATATTTTCTGTAGCTACAACAAAAGAATAGCAACAAATTAATTGTCAGATTTTATTTTTCTTAGATTTTGCTGTATACACTGGAACAGGTTAACCTCAGTTCAAGGGCTAAATGAAAGTTTCAGGGCCCTACTGTCCATTCACTATCCCAGATTCACAAATGGAAGTGTGTTGCATAATGTGTTTTTGGTGTTTTTTTATTATTATTATTTAAGTTAGGCTTAATATTTTTCAAAAGAGGTACTACTAAGCATTTTCTTTATTTGTATTCAAAATACATTGTAATCTAAAGTCTTATGGTCATAATGCTTTACTCATTCTTGAACTGGAATATCCATCATGTTTTATTCTTGTCTGATTCCATAGCGACGTATTGATGATTTCTGCTATCCATGCATACCATCAACTTCCTGCTCCTGATTCTTTGCTGTGCATGGCTTTTTCAGATGGTACTTGTAACATGGAGCAATTCAACAAGAGTAAACACCATATTTTGTCAGACCTTAATAAACGTTAGAAAAGTAATGTTATAAAAACCTTCTGATTTCAATAGAGTTTGCAAAGAGATCTGGCTGATTTTTAGTAAGAAGCCAAAGCATTTCGTGGCATTAGAAAGACTAGTAAAATTTGTTAGCCTTTGAGGTGCCAAAAACACATTCAATTTTTATGATTTGATTTGTAGCATTTCTTAAAATGTTTTCTTTAATGAAACGCACCAGAGAGATAACTAACATCCACTTCTGAAAACTCAGAGGAATACCATCAGAGATTACAAGGGAAAATATTGGTTTATTGCTAAGTTAGCTCTTTTAAAAGATAGTGAATATACATCTCTGGAGTTAGTGATATATACATCTCTTTTTTTAAAAAAAAATCAAGTGTGTTTCTTTTTTCATATACAAGAGGAAATGTGCTCCATGGCATTTATTAAACAAATGCTACATGTGCAGATAGATACCCTTTCCCTTTATGAAAATAAGAATGTTTTGTGTGCCTTCTATGGTTCCAATGTAATGGGTGTACAGTTCTATGCACAATGATAGGCCCTTGTGGTGGTTTTTGCCTTGCCTTGTAGCAAAAGATAAACCAAAGCCTACAACTTATTTCTTTCCAATTCCATTTTTCAAGACATTTTGTGTGGTCTTTATAAACATGTGCTTAAATACATCCTTTTCTCTAGGTGAACACTTGTTTTTAATTTTTTAATGTTTATAGTTTTAATATGTTTTTATGTTATTTTATTATTACCGATATTGTTTTAATTCTTGATTGGGAGCAGCCCAGATTTTGTTGTAAGGTGTGTGGCTATATGAATGTTTTAAAATCTGGACAGAAAACCAACTTTTCTGCAGTTCATTGCACTGCTTTCTGTATGTTCGTTTCTGCACTTGACCTTTAACAATTGGAGGGTATTTTACTCTGAACTTTTCAGGGGTGTCACCACAATGTGTGTGAGGACCTAATAAAGAAAAGAGGTAGTTTGCACTAATGAAATGATGGCTGTTATATGTATGTATGTATACACACACACACACACACACACACACAAAACACTTGTAAAAGAAAGAAATGCCTGTATATGCTGTGTGTCAGGAGTCAAAGGGACAAGAACCCTAACCTAAAACTAGAGATAGGAGAAGGGCATTAAGAAAAGATAAGCTAGGGACCCTTGTTGCAGTGTCTGGTAGATAATGCGTTATCCTGATGCAAGGGCTTTTCTAGTTTCTGCTAGCTTAACTTGGAAGGAGTAGTCTGCCAAATATTGCACCTTGAGGACATACGGGGATTGAGGTAACTTTGCAACAAGAGCCATTTTAAGGAACTACATTGAAGAAAATTCTAACCAAAAGTGATATAGTTCTTAAATTAGCAGCCTAGGTCAGCCTGCTAAATAAGTTACAGGATACAGTCAGATGGAGGAAGACACCCTTAGGCTGTGTAAGAAACCTCGTTCAGAAAACCAAAATGCCTTTATCAACGTTTATAGCTGATAACTACTTTTGTACACTGTTCAATCAACTTGCCAAGGAGGTAGTTGTTAATGTTATCTCGGTCCAACCAAGTCAGCCACTAAAGAGCAGGACTGAAAGAGTCCATATTACACCCCTGCAAATCAGGCCACTTACCGTATGCTAGGATCATACTTTCACAAGACTTGGTTACTATGGTCCAAGAGATAAAGAGTCTGAGAGTTTAAAAGCAAGTAGTTTTTTGTGTGTGTATGTGATGTTCCGTTTAATAAGTTTGTGCAACCCTACTGACACAAGATTATTTTGCACTCACAGGTGTTATTTTAATGTGAATCTGTACATAGAATAGGGATATCAATCATTCAGCATAGAAATAAACATGAATAAAATATTCCACTTTTTCTATGAAGAATTTAAACAATCTAAAACTTACTTTGAAAATGGTTTTAATTCTGCTTGATTTTTTTCCCATACAAAAATATACTTTGACAAATGGAAAAAAAATGTGTGAACTAATACCTTAATGTATCTAATGGTAATACCTTAATGTATCTAATTAGCTCTCTTGGAAGGAGTTTGCAATGAAGCTCACCTGTGGTGGTGATAAGAGAAACAGAAGACTTATTAAGGCTTCAATAATTGCTAGATTTGGAAGTGTAAGAAAATTACATTGATACAGTTCTTCTCTCCTTGTTAAAATACTTAGTATGCTTCATTATTTTTTAAAAAAATATGAATGTTAATAAAACTCTTTAAAAAGAGTCATATGAGTTTTTATTTATAGAGGAAAGAGGACATTAAAGCTAGGGTTACC